TCCAAAGCAGGCTCCAGCTCTGAGCTGTTAGCACAGAGCCCAAGCGGGGCTTGAACCCACAAAAACTGGGAGATCATGACCTGAACTGAAGATGGAGGCCCAACCGACTGAGACACCCAGGTGCCCCATATATTAAGGACTTCTAATACCACAGATTAATTCTGCCTGATATTGTATGTGATATAAATGGAATCGTGCACTATAATACATTTATGTGTCCGGCTTTTGCTCAGAATTAAATCTGTAACTTCATCCATGTTGTTGACTGTAATATATCTGTCATTGTACAGTATTTTATTGTGTGAATATATCATAGATTTTGTATCTGTTCTGATAGATATTAGACTAGTTTTCAGTTTGGAGCAACTAAAATAGCTCTGCTATGAACAATCATTGTATGCTTTTTGGTAGATATAAATACTGATTTATGTTTAAAAATATACTCAGGACTAGAAATGCCAGGTTCTATGATATGTATATGTTTAGTACTAGTAGAAACCACCAATTTCCCAAAACTTTTGTACAAATTTACATTCCTCTTAACAGTGCATGAGAGTATAGTTGTGTTCCATATCCTCACCAACATTTGGGATTAAGGAAGAAAAGTTGAAATTCCTAAAAAATTTATACACTATATGTTATTCATAAAACATTTACAACCTTCTTTTTTTCATTTTAGTTATTCTAGTGGGTGTAGAATGGTATCCTCTGGATTTTAATTTGTATTTCCCTGATGACTAATATAGTGGATCATTTTATATGTGTGTGTGATTGGGAAAGTGTTCTACAAGGTGCCTATTCAACACTTTTTTTTCTATTGAGGTTTCTGACTACAAAACAGATGAACATAATGGAGGAGAAACAAAAATAATATGAAAACAGGGAGGGGGACAAAACAGAAGAGACTCATAAATATGGAGAACAAACTGAGGGTTACTGGAGGGGTTGTGGGAGGGGGGATGGGCTAAATGGGTAAGGGGCACTAAGGAATCTACTCCTGAAATCATTGTTGCACTATACGCTAATTTGGATGTAAATTTAAAAAAATAAAAAATAAAACAAGTTAAAAAATAAAAAAAATAATTATGGATTTGAGTCATTTGTCATGTATATGCAATACACATATTTTCTCTCACCTTGTGACTGGCCTTTTTACCATTGTCTTTTGATAGACAGAATGTATTAATTTTTAATATATTCTAATTCATCCTCTTTTACCTTTGTGATCAGCGATATTTTATGTCCCATTTAAGTAATCTCTACTTCTTCAAAGATCATGAAAATATTCTATTTTCTTCTAAAAAAATTATTGTTTTACCTTTCACCTTTTCACATTATATCTACATTCCATCTGAAATTTATTTTTGTGCATGATGAGAGATAAAAGTCAAGATTTCTTTCTCTCTCTTTCCTTACTTCCCTCCCTATCAGCCTCCCTTTCCTTCTCCCTTTCTTTCTGCTTTTGGACTTCTGTTATGTCCCATTAGTCTATTTGTCTATCATTCCAATAATAATACCTACAGCTTTAGAATATACAGGTAGTTTTAAAATTTTAAATCTGGTATTAGATTTGATTTGATTGTAAGTTCTCTAGCTTTATTCTTCTTCTTCAAGATTGCCTAGCTATTTTTTACACTTTTACATTTCTATATAAATTTTAGAATCAGTGTTTTCTTTGTATTTGTCCTCCTTAGTGCATACCAACTTCTTGAATGTTTAGATTGATAACTTTAAAAATGTTTGGCCTGAATGTAATTATTACTTTTGCTCCTTTCTCTCCATTTTTCTTCCGCAAAATTACACATTACAACGTATTTTACTGTGTCCCATGTTTCTTACTCTTTTCTGTATTTTTGTGTCCCTGTGCTTCAGTTTTGCTATTTTCTGTTTATCCATTTTTAAATTCTCCAATCCTGTCTTCTGCTTGTTAAATCTATCCATTGAATTCTGAATTTTGCATATGTACTTTTCCATAAGTAATTTCTAATCTGTTCTTCTTTATAGATTCCAATTTTCTGCTGAAATTCTGTTTTGTCTCTTTTATCTCTTATATTCATCTTTTCTCCTTTTCCTCGAACATATTAACCATAGTTTTTGTTTTTTAGCATAGTTTTTAAAAGTCCTTGTCTACAAACTCTGATATCTGGGTCACCTGTTGACCTATTCTATATTCCCCCTCCCCCTTTACTTATTTTTTGTTTTGTTTTAAAATCTTGGTTTTAGGTCATATAGTCCTGTCTATTGGTATGCCTAATGATTTTTTTTATTGAATTCCAGACACTATATAATAAAATTGTTTAGTTTTCAGATGATGTTAACTTATACCAGAGAGGCTTCATTTTTTCCTTTTCTAAGCAGATAGTTTAGGATAAATATTACCTTAATCCTATAAGAGACTGAGTTGGGTTATAGTTTTGGTTAAACTTGATGTATGTCCCTGCTGTTCCCTTGTAACTAGGACATAGCTTCTCTGGGGTTGTAAACTGATAGCCTAGCATGCCTTCTTTTTTATAGCATTGGGAGACTGTAGGAAAGCCAGCTTTACATTTCAGAGGTTTTCATATTTTTATTTGGCCTTATGATTTATGCATATTCAAAAAGTCAGCAATTGTATTGACAGGGACATCGGCCAAGAATTTGAGACCTTCTAGATCTCTATTTTTATCACTTTAGCTCTGTGTGCCAATTAAACAATTGCTTTTTTTTCCCTATCATCTAGCATCAGCCCTATGCCTAGGGCCAAACATGAATTCTAAGCTTCAATCAATGGCTAGAATAGACAGGTACCATAAAGAATGAATAAGCTGCAGGTCACAAATTCATTTATGAGAGGTTCTACCTTTTCTCCAGAATTTTTGTCTTTCAATCCTCATTGCTTCTACAGTTCTAGGTTTTCTAGTTATTCATGAGCCATTATTATTTATCATCTGAATTATTACAATAACCTTTTAACTGGATTTCCTTCTTCTATTCTTCCCAACTTATATTTTAACAGAGTATCCACAATTATTAAAACATAAGTCAGATAATATAATCATTTTGTTCAAAATATCCCAATTACTCTTCATTTTCTCTCAGTAAAATTCAATGCCCTTTAATGTCCTAAAAGACTCTAGATGATCTGTCTTCTTCTTTGATCTCATACTCTCCTAGTGCTTTCCCCTTTACTGTATCTATATACTATACTGAACACTTCAATCTTCCTTGAAGAAGTCAGATACTTTTCTGACTCAGGGTCTTATCCCTGGTTGTTCTCTCTACCTAGAGCACAGTTTCCTCTAATATCTGCACTGTTAATGCTTTTACCTTCTTAAAATCTCTGCTCACTTTTTCAGAGGCCTATGCTGAATCCCTACTTTAAATTTCAGTGGCAACACCTATCTTCCACCTAGACATGACTAATTCCCCTTATTCTGCAAAAATTTTAGGTCTTCCCATGGTTATTTTCAATTTACAACATACGTTATACTTTACTTTTTAATCCATTTTTTATTTTATCTTCCACCATCACTCTCTCCTCTATAAAATACGCTCCACAAAGACAGGGTCTTTGCTTTATTCATGGATGTTTTCCAAACTCTTACAATAGAGCCTGGCACAAAAGAGACAATCTATAAGTATTTGACAATGATTGAAAAAATATGTCACATGTAATTACTTGGGTCTTCTCAAATGCTCTTTCTACTTTAAAATACAGAGTTAAATTTAATTTAGACACAATCAACACAGACCTTGATATATTGCTCAGATGACTCCCTATATGAAACTTACTCTGAAATTCTTAGAATTACACTCACTCAAATTCTATTCAATTTTAATTTTTCTAATTTATTTAAAAATGGGCTATGTATCTACTCATTTCTCTTTCAGATTTGCAGTTACTGGTAAAGGCAATACTCTGTAAAAATGAGAAAATCTCCAGATTTTCTTTCTCTCTTTCTATCTACCATTTACTGTACAGAATTAGATAGAACTATATAAGATGCAGGTAGAGGGGCGCCTGGGTGGCGCAGTCGGTTGAGCGTCCGACTTCAGCCAGGTCACGATCTCGCGGTCCGTGAGTTCGAGCCCCGCGTCGGGCTCTGGGCTGATGGCTCAGAGCCTGGAGCCTGTTTCCGATTCTGTGTCTCCCTCTCTCTCTGCCCCTCGCCCGTTCATGCTCTGTCTCTCTCTGTCCCAAAAATAAATAAACGTTGGAAAAAAAAATTAAAAAAAAAAAAAGATGCAGGTAGAAAAGGCATTTCAAAAATATAAACACATTTCCTTTTGGATATCTTGTCCTTAGGAAGTGGCTACTATACTCTAATTTTGTTTGTTTATTATTCATTTATTTACTCATTCATTCTCAAGTATGTATTTAAATTCCAGTTAGTTTAGGGGCGCCTGGATGGCACAGTTGGTTAAGCGTCCGACTTCAGCCAGGTTACGATCTCGCGGTCCGTGAGTTCGAGCCCCACGTCAGGCTCTGGGCTGATGGCTCAGAGCCTGGAGCCTGTTTCCGATTCTGTGTCTCCCTCTCTCTCTGCCCCTCCCCCGTTCATGCTCTGTCTCTCTCTGTCCCAAAAATAAATAAACGTTGAAAAAAAAATTAAAAAAAAAATAAATTCCAGTTAGTTTATATTCAGTGTAACATTAGTTTCAGGTGTACAATATAATGATTCATCACTTACATACATCACTCAGTGCCCATCACAATATATTAGCTCTGTCTTGCTCTATCTTCTGGACAATTTAGAAAACAGATGTTAATGTTTCAATCTAACGATAGAAATGAATCTGAAATAGTGAGATAATATTTGCTATCTAGAAAGAAAACTCTATTAAAAGCTAAGTCTCCTCCTCCTGATTAGTTAGTACTATTGAACACCACTCCCTTTCCTCATTCCCATACTGGCCTGGGTTAAAGGTTTCAGCTTTAGAAACTACTAGGGGACAGAATAGGAAATACTCAGTTTCCTTTCAGAAGAACAGGTAAACAGAAACTGAAAAACAATACGTACAGCTTCCAAACTTCAGTGGGCAGGCATGTACATCCATAGGAAAATCTTCCAAATGCATGGGGCACTCAGCATGAATTGTTAATCTAACACAAAGGAGAAAAGAAAATTAGATTAAGCAAAAATGAACAGTATTAATCACAGAGCTGAGTTCCCACTCACCAGCAATGGGGTGCCCCTAAGAATAATGGGATTTCATTTATTTAGGTTCACTGAGATCGAAGTCTTTATGAACACAAGGGATGAATTAATTGAACCAAACAGCAACTCAAAGCAGCATTCAGTATTCAGATTTTTAAATCAGATTTGAATCCCACCTTACCACCTTTAGAAAAAACACATATAACTTATCTGCCTTAGCTGAGTTCCCTCAGCCAACCCTCCCTCTCAAAGAAGGCTTAAAACACAAGATTCTGACTTATTCACTCTTTGATAGCAGTTAATTATTTGTTAAATAATTCTTATCAGCAGCCTATAGAGTGAGTTAACCAATGTAAAGACTACACTGGGAAGGAGAGATGAATATCTTTATCTTGATAATGAACAGGTACAAAAGATGTCTCTGCTGCTCACAGCAACTGCTATAACTTTGTTGATGGAGATGCCTCTTGGAGAACATATACTGCATGTGCTTGTGCACACACACGCATGCACACACACACAAAAAAAACTGGTCAGCAAAACAAAATATGAAGGTAATGGAGGACACCAAAAACCTCAGAGGTTAAGTCTAAAGACCTCATGCTTTATTTTTTTAATATTTTTTAATGTTTATTTATTTTTGAGAGACAGAGACAGAGCATAGGTGGGGAGGGGTAGACAGAGAGAGGGAGACACAGAATCTGAAGCAGGCTCCAGGCTCTGAGCTGTTGGCACAGAGCCCAACATGGGGCTCAACTTACAAGCCATGAGATCATGACCTGAGCTGAGATCATGACCTGAGCCAAAGTCAGATGCTTAACCGACTGAGCCACCCAGGTGCCCCATAAAGACCTCATGTTTCTTAATAGGAACAACATGTGAAAGACACTGCATGGATTCCTCAATGAAAATCTGAATGGGGTATGATTTGCAATGCCCACATATTCATTCTCCTGCATTATTCTGCATAAATAATCTATTCTAAGATTTCTCCTCTGATTTCTTGCCAATAAACTAGGCAATCTAGAAGTGGACAAATTCTTAGAAACTCACACACTATCAAAGCTGAATCAGGAGAAATAGAAAATTTGAACAGGCCCATAGCCAGCAAAGAAATTAAATCAGTAATAAAAAAATCTCCCAACAATTAAGAATCCTGGACCAGATGGCTTTCCAGGGGAATTCTACCAGACATTTAAAGAGTTAATGCCTTTTCTTCTCAAATTGTTCTAAAAACCAGAAATAGAAGGAAAACTTCCAAACTCATTCTACGAAACCAGCATTACCTTGATTCCAAAACCAGACAAAGACCCCATGTAAAAGGAAAACTAAAGGCCAATATCCCTGATGAACATGGATATAAAAATTCTCAATAAAATACTAGAAAATCAGATTCAACAGTACATTAAAAGAATTATTCACCATAATCAAGTGGGATTTATTTGTGGGCTGCAGGGCTGGTTCAATATTCGCAAACCAATCAATGTGGCACACCACATTAATAAAAGAAAGGATAAAAACCATATGATCCTCTCAATAGATGCATAAAAAGCATTTGACAAAATATAGCATTCTTTATTGATAAAAACTCTCAAGAAATTAGGGATGGAATGAACATTCCTCAACATTATAAAGGCCATATATGAAAGACCCACAGCTACTATTCTCAAAGGGGAAAAACTGAGAGATTTCCCCCTAAAGTCAGGAACATGACAAAGGATGTTTGTCACTCACACACTCACTACTGTTGTTCAACATAGTACTAGAAGCCCTAGCCTCAGCAATCAGAAAACAAAAAGAAATAAAAGGCATATGAATTGGCAAAGAAATCAAACTTTCACTCTTCGCAGATTATATGATACTCTTCATGGAAAACCCGAAAGGCTCTTTTTTTTTTAAGTTTATGTATTTATTTTGAGAGAAAGAGCAAGGGAGGGGTGTAGAGAGAGGTAGAGAGAATCCCAAGCAGGCTTTCCACTACCAGCACAGAGCCTGATGTGGGCCTAAACTCACAAACCATAAGATCATGACCCAAACCGAAGTTGGATGCTCAACCAACTTGAGCCATCCAGGGACCCCTGAAAGACTCTTTACAGAATTTTGAGCCTTAACTTTCCTTGGCCTAGGTAGTAGCCTTCCATGTAGAAATGAGACCTGCAGAGCATAAAGTCAGAATTCTTTGGAGCCTAGCTTTGATGAGTTATTTCTAGCTAATCTGTGTGTTTCCTGGTTATACTGGATTCAATCTATGCCATCCTTTTAGAGCTCTAGGTGACCAACTGGACAGCATTTCCAATCCTAATTGTTAAACCTGATGAATATGTAACCCTTCACAAATGTTCAGAGGAGCAATACTAGATATTGCTTAGAGCAGGATAACTAAAACATGTTCATGTGTATGTTAGCAAGAATTCTAGACTAAAAGGTAAAAACCAAGTGTATACTCTTCAACAAGTACTTATCCATCTCTTATTTTTAGTTCTCCCAACAAAACAGTAAGAGGTTGAATCTAGATGGCAAGTATCCTTGAAGATCTAACTAATCCCTTTAATATTTACAAAATTTTTCATGTGTCTTGGACAAAGGCTTAATTTTCAAGTCAGACTGCACTATTCCATCAATCCACTCTTTATTCTCAAGGCATAAAGGAGGTTTCATAATTCAAAGGATCTGACACACAGAAAAAAATTATTTCACTGTGAAACCTGTTCCTTGTGTTGGATACTTAAAATATTCCATGACGGTTTAATAAAGAAAATTGTGTTCCTTCTTTCCACTTATATTAGTATTTCCAAGACACTGTCTTTTGTGAGTAATGTCAAGGGGAAATTATTTTATGTCTACCCAGCAGTCCTGAGGACATGGCAAATAAGACCACAACAAATAGATTATAAAAGCAAGATGCAAAGGGCATCTGATTTCTGATTAGGAGTGGAACTGATTCATAACATTTCTATCTTCCTTTCCATACACTTCTTGCACATCCTACCTAGGCACATAGCAGAGAGGGAGGAGAAAGCAGATGTTGGTGAGGGCAGAGTACTTCACAACCCAGATTATGCTGTGCTCCTTTCATTGGTTCTTAAACACACCCTAATGCTCTCTGACATCCCATGTTATACTGTGTTCCCTTCTTCCTTCTCTTTACTTTGCTACAAATTTCAAGACCTTTTCAAGATTTTCTGCAGCAGAAAGCACCCTGGCAATATCCAAGCTAATATACTAATCACTACAGTCTATGCCATAAAAATATCCATCCCCTCCAAAAGTTTCCTTCCATATTATTATTATTATTATTATTATTATTATTATTATTATTTTGTGTGACTAGAACCCTTAACATAAGACCTGTCCACCTGGCAAATTTTAAAGTAAACAATACAGTATTGTTTATTGAGAAAAGGACCTGAATAGACATTACTCCCAAGACATACAAATGGACACAGTTATGTAAAAAGGTACTCCACATCACTAATCGTCAGAGAAATGTAAATGAATATACCCCCTCACACCTGTTGGATAGGCTATTATTGAAAAAGACAAGAGATAACAAGTGTTGATGAGGATGTGGAGAAAAAGCAACTCTTGTGCACTGCTAGTGGGAATGTAAATTGGTGCAGTCACTATGGAAAGCAGTATGATGAAGGTTCTTCAAAAAATTAAAAATACAATTACCATAAGATCAAGAAATCTCACTTTTGGAAATATATATCCAAAGTTACTGAAATCAGGATTGCAAACAGATATCTTCACTCCCATGTTCATTACAGCATTATCCACAATAGCCAAGACATGGAAGCAATCTAAGTGTCCATCAACAAGTGATAAGAAAATGTATATACATACAATGGAATATTATTCAGCCTTAACAAAAGAAAGAAATCCTGCCATTTTGAGCCACACTGATGAACCTAGAGGACATTATGCTAAGTGAAATAAACCAGACAGAGAAAGACAAATACTATATGATCTCACTCATACGTGGAATCTAAAATAGTTAAACTCATAGAAGCAGAGTAGAATGGTGGTAGGGAGGGAATGAGGAAATTTTAGTGAAAGGGTACTCAGGTTCAGTTTTTCAAGTTGAAGAAGTCCTAAAGATCTACTGTATAGCAAATAGTCTTTAGTCTTTCTTTTCAAGAAAGGTTAGAGACCCCTCAAAATGTGACATTCAGATCATAGGGATTCAGTTCCACTCCAAGGTTTAGCTTGCTTTGATTCCTATGCAAAAACAAGACAGAAATTCCTATAAGAGGAAGTCCAGGAAATGCCTTTCTTTGGGAGTGAAAGATACAGATAGAAAGGAAGCTCTTTTAGCCCTACACGTGTGCATTCATATGTGCACACGCACACGCACACACAAAACCCTACATTACTGCCCTCATTTCACTGCTTTGCAGCATTCTGGCTCCCTTGTCCCTACCTTTTGCTGCTCAACAGTTGGTTTTTATTCCACCACAGTAAAAAGTTAAAGTTTTGTTACTTCCATGGCCTCCTAGCTAGTCTCTTTCCTGTAACCTTTTGCCCTTACAGTATATTCTCTGCACGATAGCCTTCTAATGTTTCCTCATCTTATATAGACTAAAATCCAAAGTCCTTGCCATGGCTTATAGGGTCTTGTATGACCTTGTCTTCTTCTTTTTTCTTTTTTTAAAGTTTATTTATGTATTTTGAGAGAGAAAATCCCAAGCAGGCTCTGCATTGTCAGTGCAAGGAGACTGACCCATGATATCATGACCTGAGCCAAAATTAAGAGTCAGATGCTTAACCAACTGAGCCACCCAGGTACCCCATATGACTTTGTCTTCTGTTTCTCTTCAGCTTATGTCCTATAATTCCCTCCCTTGTTCACTTTGTTCTAGTCACAATGGCTTCCTTGCTTCTCTTTCAACATGCCAGGCTCCCATACATCATGGTCTTTGCACTTGCTATACCCTCATACCTC